CAGACCCACCTCTGGCTATGGCCATGGCGTCTCTCTGATTAATGTATTTAAGAGAGGAAAGTAAAAAACTGCAGTGGAGAGAGGAGGGGTATGCGAGAGGGACAAAGGCAGACACCCCAGTCAGTGCAGAAGTTGAGGAGGAGGTGGGCCGGAGCAGAGGCTGGAACAGGTTTGCTGGCAAGACTTGTGACCCCAGGGGGACCCAGGCTGAAGCAGTTAGTGAAGGACTCATGACGGAGAAGTTCGTGGAGGACTGTCTTCCGTGGGAGAGACCCCACGCTGGAGCAGGGGCAGAGTGTAAGGATCCCTCCCCTGAGGAGGAAGGAGCAGCAGAGACAGTGTGTGATGGACTGACCATACCCCCATTCACCACGGAGGTAGAGAAATTGGGAGCAAAGCTGATCTTGGGAAGAAGGGAGAGGTGGGAGGAGGGTGTTTTTATCCTACACTGATTTAATTGGTAATTAATTAAATTGAGTTTTCTTCCCCAAGTTGAGCATATTTTGACCATGACCATAACTGTTGAGTGATCCTTCCCTGTCCTTGTCTTGACCTACGAGCCTTTCCTTCTATTTTCTCCTCCCTGTCCCATCAGTGGTAAGGAGTGAGTGAGCAGCTGCATGTTGTTTAGTTGCTGTCTTGGGCTTAAAGCATGACAATATATTACTTTCATGTTTCAAAGGAAAATACAAATTACAAAATGCCTAATCATAGTATGAAATATAGTATAACTGGACTTCCTTGGATTTTAAATTGCATGGAAAGTTTCTTGAACGCTGTGTTTCCTATACACTGTACAAACTGGACACACCTCTTTGCAAGCTCCTATGAAATTAGAAATTCTACTACATAGAAATTTTGTCAGCTCTGGGGAGCATGATCTGCTGCAGAGTAATCATTAACATCACAGAGTAGGTGCAAACATGATTTAGAGCAACTTTTTTTCCCAAGACAATTTTTTTTATGCTTTCAGTAACAAAGATCCTCATGTACAGTCTCCCAACATATGCTGTCTGTCTCTTTTCTTAAGAATGTGTATTTTGGGCATCTTTTCAGAGAAAGGCAACAAATGTCTCACTGCAGGTTCTTCCTGATGTGTATTTTGTACGTGCTTGTAAAGGTAGCGAAGTAAGGGAATGGGTGTGACAATGCATAGAAACGTAGAGCAACAGAGTGTAACTGGTTGACACGTGAGCTCCACTAGATACTCTAATTCTTGGCTTTTTATTGTTATTTATTTCATTGTTTATTTTATTGTTAGTTTTGTGTACTTCCTTGTTCCCTCCACTGCTCCTAAAATGTGAAGGATTCTAGGTGGTTTATAGGATGCTTTTGTGGTTACGTATGTTGTTTCTTGAGTTCTAGTTTTGAGTTTGTATAGGAAGAACACAAAAATAATACTTAGTTCAGCTCTTCTAAAGAAGCAGGAAAATTATTCTGGAATACCATGCATAAAAATGTAAGATGTACAAAAATAAGTTGAGGATAGAGATACATTAATTGTTGGGGAAGGAGAGACTAATTTGAGGAATGAAAATCAAGTATTTCATTGCTTTTTCTGTACTGTTGATGTAGGGAGCATGGGTCACTTCTTATTTTTTAACACATTCTCTAATTCCAGCATGTGTGAGGTTGGATACATTCAACATAATGCAGTCTTTAATTGGTCAAACTGATGTGTGAACCAGTGCTGTGTATTTCCTAGCAATTCACTGAGAGTAAGGTGAGTTCTAGAGGATTAAGCAAGTGCAGAGTGAGAAAAGCTGTTAGAAATCTTGGGGGAATATTCGTAGCTTTGGCTCTGTACAGACGTTAGAATAAGCAGTATTCCTAATTAGGGAAACACGAGGTGATGAAGAGTGCAGTTGGGCAAGACTGTGGGGGACACAGTGCATGAGAAATTTTGAGTTAAATGTGTTAAGTGATCTTCCGAATGTGACAGATGTGTCTGGTTCTGATAATTCTGTTTGATAATGTAGTTGGCCTGGCAGGTAAGAGGAGCAGCAGCTGCTGATATAACTGGATTCTGATAAAACTTTTGAGACTCTTCAACTAGAAGGCTTAGTCTACATTGTGTTCCTGAGTTGTGGTCTGCTGGTCACTACTGTCTCTACCTAGACCCTTCACAAGAGAACCAGAATTGGCTTTTCCTATGGAGTTCTTAGCTAGCACTTTAAGATGCTAGTCTAAAGAACAGGATACTGACAGTAATCCATTGGTACAAAAGCTTGGGAATCATTTGTTAAAGCTGTAATTGGCTTGAACTATGATAATTGATTACTGCTGACTTAATTAAGACTGCACCTCAGGTGGCATTCTGCAGAGAGCTTTCAGCTTGGATCTCTAACACTCAAGAATAACTTGGTTGGTGGGGTAGAAAGTGTGCTTAGAAAACAATTAAATCATACCAAATGCTTTTAAAGATGGAATTGATATTCATAACTGTCTTGAAATTAGTGTGCCTGAAGTCAACAATGTGGAATTCATGACACAAATTTACAGCAATATGTTGTTGTCTGAGGGCATAAAAGTTGCATATGAATACAAAATTGGAAAGAACTGGCAAAGGAGAGGTAATGGAGAAGAGTATCTGAGGTCAGTGAATGTTGAGCCAAACAAAGAACTGAATTTCTGGGGGAGGGAAAGAAGAAGAAGCTGCAATGTGTTAATAGGAATGTGGTTTGTGAGATACAATTGTTATGAGTAATTTAACCTTGTTGAGGTCTCAGTTGAAGCATTGCCTTGTTCAGGCATCCTGCTTTAAGAAATGAACAAATTGGGGGACCCAAGAGTAGTATCAAGAACAGTCAGAGTTTTAGAGAGAACACCTGTCTAAAAAGGTTCAAAGTGCTAATGCACACTGTTTGGAAAGAAAAGACAAGGGGTTGAGCTACCTTGGAACAACTTATGAAGGATAAGGAGAATATTTTGGGAGTAGCTGGAAAAGAAACTGGCTCAACATTTAACAGAATGTGTTGCAGTTTAAGTCAGCAATTTCTCTAGTAGAAGCCACAGTTCTAAATATTTCTAAACATTAATAAAATTTGCAAGCTTGACAGTAATAGAAATCCCTGCTTTTTTTCTTAGTATCATAACTTGTTCCATTTAATATTTTTATCCAAAATATCTTAGAATTTGATTGGTTTTTTAACCATGATCCAAGTTAATAAAAGTATTAGAGGTTACTGTTTTTCTTAGGAGATGAGAATGTGATGATAGTCACCTTGTATGTTGGTTAGAAGAGTGGTTTAAAGTCAAGTTTGCAGTACTATTTTAGCTTTACCAGTGGAATGGGATAGATCCCTAAAGATTTAGTATGCAGGAAGATATAATTGTGGAGAAAGACAAGTTAAGTGCTGCTTATGTAAGCCAGTGGTATGCCTTTGGTATTGTGATACGTTTAACAAATGAAGGATTTTGATAATATTTCAAGACTGACCTTTATCACTTGTAGCTAGTTCATTGCTTTATTCAGACTTAGTGAATCTTCCTTAATTTCCTATGACTCATAGCTTGTGTATGCATTCACAAGTGCCTTGAATTGTTGCTTTTTCCCCAATAGTTGATTCAGACCTCATGATATGTCTGTGTTTTGAGCTTGGAATATAAATAATTTGAGGAATGTATCTTCCCTATGAACAGTTTAGCTGTTGTGAAACATGATTATTTTTGTTGAAGAACTTTAATTTGCTTGTGTTCATAATTTCTGCTTACTCCTAAATCATTTCTGATCTTTGCAGTTTTATAAGAATTTCAAATATGTTGAGGTGTAGTACTCAAAACCAGTTTTAATTAGCTGATAAGATGAAAGCCAAAAACTTTTTCATAATTCCATTGAATAGCTTTGTTGACCAGGATTTAAAATACCCAGACTGCTGTCCTTACTGCAGACTTTCTGTTCTCTTAATATCATCTTTGAATTTAATCTTTAGTCTGAAATTTCTAGGTTTGTGTATCCTTTGAGGCCGGTGCTTCATCTTTGGACTGTAGTTGTACAGTTCTTAATTCTACCTTCACTTAGTGCTTGCTTTATTCGTGTCATAATTTCCAGAATGTGTGAATGAAAATAATGCAAGGGGAAAAAACCCTGGAAAATAACTAGGAAACAATGTTATGCATGGCTAAATGACAGTATTACTGTGTTAAGCGTAGGCAGGGGGTTGTCTGCTGATACTGAAGTTATCCATCTAAACATGAAATACTTGCAGAATTTGTATGAACAACTGAGTAAAGGATAGAAGTTACAAAAAATGATGTGTGCTTTTGCCAGGTGTCTATAGGTGTATACTTAATATACACACGCACACTTTCTGTATGCATGGGGCAAATGTAATGTTTTCTGGAAACATTGCCCATGAATCCTAAAGTGAATGCATAAGCCTCTTTTTTTTTTTTTTTTTTTTTCTGAAGGATGTGCTGTGGCATGAGTAGACAGTTTCTGTAGATGTGGGTGGCCAGCCAGCATCATGCTGTCCAGATCGAGCCCACCAGAAGAGCACGGAGGGGTGAAAACGAATGTTTTCCGCAGGCTCTTTAGCTGTTGGCAGGGAGCAAATGAGCAGTGGGCCTGTGGACCTTTCCTGAAGGCCCTGTGCCATTATGGGCCTGGACCTAGCACCAGCTGTGTGTTTCTGCGATGTGAAGCGTGTTGTTGGCATGTGGTCAGGTTAGGGGTGCGAGAGGCTGGTATGTAGTCTCTGTAAGAGCTCATACGAGCTAATGAGGGGGAAATCAGAACTACCACTGCCTTGTCTACCAGATGGTTAAATTAAAATCCTATTTTCACCTGAAAACTCTGTCCCCCAAAGTAGGAGTCGCTTAGGTATCTAATGTGTGAAAATAGTATTTACCTCATTCTTTAACTTGAGGTATTTAGTGTAGTGTTCTAAACTGACAAACCCTTGGTGATATTTTAGAGACGGAAATACATCTTGTTCCATTTTAAATTGATTTTTGTATACTTGCTTTTATAGAAAAAAAATCTTCATTTTCTTTTGCAGTTTAACTTTGTTGGAAGAATCCTTGGGCCCAGAGGACTAACAGCTAAACAGCTTGAGGCAGAAACAGGATGCAAGATAATGGTCCGAGGGAAGGGCTCAATGAGGGACAAAAAGAAGGTAAGCTCTTGAGAAGCAGGAAGTAAAACAGTGCACCTGAAACTCATGTCCCCATGTTCTTACTTATTGTGTTCTTGCTATATGCTTTGTCATTGTTTGGTGTGTTTTACAGACTTAATAAACAGCGTACCCTACAGAAGTTAAATGTGCGTGCTCCACATTGGTGCAATTTGGAGTCTAGCTAGCAATTATGAAGTATTTTTCAGTTATAACTAACTTCTAATTGTGTCACGTTTCACAACGTAAAGGTAAAAACTGAAGTTAAATGTATTTTTCTAATGAAGAGCTGTTAACCTTAAAGGTGTTCTTAATAACTTCCTTCTGTTGAAATACCAAGCTAGTGATTTGTGCACATAGTATGGATTGGAAAAAATGACAAATGTATTTGTGGCAGGGAATTCTGAGTGAACCAAAAAGCACTGTGTTTCTAGATTTGTTTTCTGTTCAGGTGAAGTTGCAATGTAATTAGGGCTGTTTCTTGCCCTGTCCTGTAATATATGTGCTCTGCCCATATAAATAGGGAAACTACACTTTCAGGGCAGAGGGATCCTGAAAGTCAAGTTGATCTGGTGGTAAATCCTAGAAGTAATCTATTTTTGCAAGTTTATTTCTAGCTATTTCCCTCCACCTCTCATTACTACTGCGGAAGTTGCACTAGCATCTCTGCTGCAGGTTTGAAATGTGCACTTAACAGTACTCTTTTCCTCCTTATTCCCATAAGTATTATTTCTTTTGGTTCTTTGTTTAGAAAACCCCCTTTTCCTTATCTGATCAGCCAAATAATACATTCTGTTGATACGTATGTAGCACATAACTCAAATAGAAAGCTAATGTCTCCCCAGTTAAAAACGTCAGACATACCAGAGCTTATGGCTGTCACTTTCAAACTTCATTTGATGCCTCTTGTTTTCATAATCTGCTGTAATACTGTCACCACCTTTTCTCTTATCCAAAATATCTATAGGTAGAATGTTTAGATTGCCAGCTTTTGAGCAGAGATCTATTCTAACCTAGGGAGTTTTTGGTTGTCTAGAAGGATAGAGTGATACTGTCTTAAATGCTTGATTTATGAAGTTTTGGCTGTGGCTGCATTAATGCACAGACAAGTCCTACTGTTAAGGGGTTTTAAACTTTATATGGGGTAAATTGAATTAGTAGGGCTGATACTTGGTACAGGATTTTGAAATACAGATTTCCTGTAACTGGGGGGTGGTAGGGGACATGAAGATAACTGGGTATTAAAAATTCAGCATGCTTCACTCAGCATATACAGTTGTGTGGGTGAAGATGCTCCATTTTGAAGTCATGTGTATGGTTGCTAGTATGCAAACAATCTTAATTACATAGCTTTGTGACTGTTAATAGTAGTCAGATGTTTACATATTCAATTGTATTGTTCAAAAAAAAAAATCCTGAGGCAGGAGATTCAGTGAAAATACTGCCTTACTTAGCTTGCAAACTAAGAGAAGACTATTTTATCTACTCTTCAAAGCTAACACTTTTTGGCTGGTAGATTAATTAGACATTAAGACTTCTGTGATTACATGTGTAAAAGATCTTCACTATGTAGGACACACTTAAATTCTGTTTGCAACATATGAACTGTCAAACTGTCAGTTCAAAAGAAATACTGATACCTTAAAGTAAGTACTTAAATGTTCATTCAGCTTTTTGCCTATTTAAACATAGTTTGTAAAAGACATAATATTTTTATCAATAATATAATTCTTCATTTATGGGTAGAATTTAAGTTTATTGCTGCAAAGTCTTTGTTTTAGGAATGATAATTCTAGGTCAGGGTAGTTCATCAAGAGTTTGGTTATGTAACGTTTTTTTTGAATAAAAACATTTGTTTTGGTTCATTTATGTTCATAAATACCATAAGCTAAAATACTTTGGCGTCTATTCTTCAGAAAGCTTACAAGTATAGTTTGAGGCCCCAAGCTCCATGGTCTAGAAATAACATGTTGCAGTCAGTAATGAAGGTATGTAGATTTAAGATAGTCGTTAGCAGTGATGCTTTAACACATGAAAGGTTGGCTTTGCTGTGTAGAAGAGCACACTTAGTTGTGTGCAGACAGCTACGGTAGTGTGAACAGAAATAAAAACCCTCTGTTTTGAGGCCTCAATTTTTCTTCCGAAGAGACCCATTCCCCTGTAAATGTTTAATTTGCAGACCGTTTCATAGAAGGCACTTAAAAGAGTAAAGATGACTTTGGATTTCTGGAAGTTACTGTGTGTTCCTTGGCCCACATAGCATAATTTCCTCCCACCTCATCGCTGTCCTCCTTGTTCATGCTAGCCTGAACCAAAGTGGCCTAATGAGTTCCCCATCAGGCATGGTAGCCATTCCCAGGGTGTGACTAACAGTATATTTTTGTTGGAACTGTATAGCCATCATTCTCTGAATGCTTTTTATATTAGGACCCTTGAACATATGTCCAGCCACTGAGGACATTCTGTTTCTGTCCTATCAACAGGGCAGGCACTTTGCACCACCAGCCCGTGTAGGGCATGTGCGTGCACCGTGTCCTTTGTTACTCTTAGCTGCCAGCTGGGATAAGCACCTTCTCTGCAGTGTTCTTGGTCACCACCTCGTGTTGTGGCCTGTCCATTCAACATTCATATGGGTCCCGGAGTTTGTGAAATGTCCGTTACAGAATCACAGAATGGTGGATGTTGGAAGGCACCGCTGGAGGTTCTCTTGTCTAACACCCCTCCGCAAGCAGGATTGCCTCGAACAGGTTGCTTAGGACTGTGTCCAGGTGGCTGTTATATTTAGTGCCCATGACCTCCCACCACTGTGCTTCAGAACCTGTCCTCTCCTCTGGGGAGTCATCTTTCCAGATATCTTAGGAAGGCATACTGTCTGGGGAAGTGGTGTTTTTTGATTGATTTTTCCCCGCTTTCAGGTTTTGTTCTTTTTTCCTTTTTTTTGGTAGCTGTTCAAAGGATCCTGGGCAGTGTGAGGTACTGGAGTTTTGTCTTTGAGAAAAAGCTTAGAGGAGCTGAGACCTTATGAGTGACTCGCCTCTTAAGTTTAGTATGAAAAGAAAAGCTGCCTTCAACAAGGACAAGCTCTGTATGGCAGTTCAGCTAGAACTCTGAACACATTAAAAGCCACGGACTGATGCAGTCAGTGCTTTGGTGCCCATTACCTCCTCTAAGTTTTCTGTTGTCTGGTATTTTTGGAGCACAGAGTACTTGACCATTGATGATTTAATGAGAAAATATTGGAGGTGGTGTTCAATATTAAGTAGTTGAAAATATTTGAGTGACATAATAGTACAAGATTGGTTGTAAACCAGTCTTGAGTACCAAATAATTTTCTTGATAAAATCTATTTTCATGCTATCCATTCCTAATCTTTCTTTAGCTCTTTTGCTCTCCTGAGGTGATTTGTATTAGTCAGCAGTTTATTTTTTTCAGCCTGGATTTTTTGTTGTTATACCATTGGTTCCTGCTGTACGAATAATTTCGTAATCATTGATTGTGATGCATCCCAATAAGATGTTTCTTCTAAAAATAAAGATTTGGAAGCTGTATTCAAGACATAATGATCACAGAGACTCAAAGTAAGAATGAGTAATATCTATCAGTTTGAATAGTAAGTACACTTCGTCCTATTGGCGCTTGCCTCTTTTCCTGATGAATTAAGTTTACAGATGAACTCAGTCTTGCAGTGCAAGATGACCAACTTCCTTGACAGTCAGTGCCTTTTAATGATAATCACATTTTTCCTTTATTTTCTCAAGGGGCTTCTCTCTTTGCAGGTTCTACTTCAAAATGCTAATGCACTTCAAAGTGTAAAAAAAACAGTCGTAGTAGTGTTGTCTTAAGGAATGTTAGGTTGTTCTAATGGTTTTTCAAACCCCTTTCCTGTCATCTAAGGTCAATGCTATTTAGAAAAATGAGTATTCAAGATTTTTTCAACTTTTTTACTGAATTGCTTTGAAATATGGAGGAGATGATAAAGGTTAATTCATATGTATATTTTGTAGGTATATTTCGTATCTGCAAACCTGGTAGCCCAATGCTAGTTATAGAAGAAATCTTACTGGATGTGGGAAGGAATTAGTTACCAGTGGCAATTTGTAATGTCACTGCTATGTGGTACTAATTACCATCTTGTAACCTGTCCTTCTACGTTTGTCTTCCTACTTTACTAACAGTTGCAGAATCCAAGAGACAATACAGACTGACATGCTGGAAAATAAACCATGCAGATTTGCTTTGTAGAAAAACGTTACTCTCCTCTGTAAGCCTATGAACAGAAGTAGTGATAGAAATCTTTGTCACATGGCCACATTACTTGAACTAGCATCAAATCTAGAAACGTGCTGACAGATTTCCTCCAGAAAGCTAGGGAAATCCTGAAATCATTCGTATCTGAGTCTCAGCTGGTAATCAGAACATCTCTCCAGGCAGCTTTAGATAAATTTAAGATCAAAACCTTAATTACTGAGAGTATTGTGATTAGAGCCTGGAGGTACTTGAGGGAGATTATTGGGGAGGGGAGAGAGGTGTTGCAGGCATTCATCAAAAGCTAATGAATGTGTAACTTTATTAAGACCAAGACCTTTTTTGCTTAGTCTGAATGCACCTCTCATTAGGTAGTGAGGGAAAACCAGCAATTTTCACACCAGTCAAAGAATAATGCTTAATAAAAAGGAAGTCTGTCCAGTGATGGGTAAGCAAAACATTGTTTTTTGTCATCTCCTGTGTCTTACATGAATTCCATTGACACACCTGTAGGGACTCAGCTCTGTGCTCCTAAAGACATTGACTGCCATTATCTCACTTAGAGGAGTATGCAGCCTTAACTGTGTCAGGCTGCTGGCTTGTGGCAGTCTTGGTCAACTATGTTGTTTTTCCCATTTCTTCCTACTTGCAGGGAAGAATACCTTCTAGAACGGTGTGTGATGACAAGACATCAATAATTTTTACTTGTTTTTACTGAAGAGTTGTGGTGGTCTGGTGAAGTTTCCACCGACTGGAAA